AAGAGCATATGCAAAAATGCCAGAGGTGAGGCCTGCTGAGAAGTGAGGACTGAGTAGCAGGAGGAGGTTGTGGGGTCAGGAAGTGAGCATGTGAGGAATACTTCTGAGCTTCAGGGCCAGCCAGGAAAGAGCAAGAGCAAGAGGGAAAGTGCAAGAGAGGAAGGGGAGGATGCAGGACAATACCTGGGGGGCCATAGCTCTCAAAGAGGTCAGAGACTCTCCAAACTTGGCTATGACCATGGATCCTTAAAGTGTTGTCCACTTCCTCTCTGGGCTTTAGTTTCCCCACCATTAAACAGAAAGATTACACAGAGCAAACATTCATAATTCATGCATCCAATGATGGACTCATATCCACAATATATAAAGAGCTTCTATGATTCAATACAAAACAGATGACCCCCCCCATAGTTAGAAGGGACACACTTCACAAAAAAAGGCAATAACAGATTTTTTTAAGCTTGCAATAAACAATATTAAAAAAATATTTATCTTCATTAGTTACCAGATACATGCAGATTAAAAATCACATACAGGGGCTGTAGTGGTTACAGCAATTGCCAAGCATGGGTGAGGCACTAGGTTCAATCCTCAGCACCATATAAAAATAAATGAATAAAATAAAGGCATTGTGTCCATCTACAACCAAAAAAATAAAAAATAAAAAAGATCACACTCAATGGTTAAAATAAAAACAGTGTATGATCCAAAGCAATGGCAGCAACAGGAAGCAAACTGAACCCTCATTTACTGCTGGTGGGAATGTAAAGGGATACAACCAGCCTGGAAAGCAGGAATATCCACAAGAGAAGAACGAATGCACACATACCTCATGACGTAACGGTTCCACTGCCAGCACGACCCCCAATCAAAATGTGAACTTAAAGCACACACACAAGACACTAGGATGTTCACAGCAATGACATTCACAAAGACCCCGAATGAAAACTGTCCATTCTCTGAACGTAAAAATGGAAAAGTAAAATTGTGCACTTCCATAGTCGGTTGGATAAATGTCAACACATAGTATTGAGTAAATGAAACCAGGCAAAAGCCGAGGTTCTACATGTGGTATTCAGCTAAAGTCCAAACACAAACCCATGGTGCTTGAAGCCAGAAAGGGGTAATTCTGGGGGAGTTAGTGACAGACACCAAGAGTAGGACCCTTTGAGTGCTGGTATGTGAATATATCCATCTCTAAAAAGTCATCAAACAATACAAGTTATATCTCCTCTTCTGTCCATGCTATATTTTGACCTTTTTTTACAGACACAAAGAAAATGGATGGGATAGAGTGGTCCCTAGGGGCTCTAGGTACAAAGAAGACATAGATGGAGAGACACAGCACAGCAGCCAAGAGGTGGCCAAGCTCAGCTGGAGAGTCTAAGCTGGTCTTACTTACTCGGCAGATGGACTTTTCATTTATATAGTCCCCAGCACACAGTGCATCCTCGTGTACGCCAGGAGGTTTGGGGCCAGCGTCAGCAGGGTTGGGAGGTCTGTAAAAGGAGTCACAGACATCACTGGGTACAAGCATGAGCTCTGCCTCCTGTAGTTGCATGGGAGGTGGCAGGAATTCTGTGGGAAAGAATTCAAACATGAAGTGCTAACCAAAGTGAAACCAACTCTCTCTCCAGCCTGTCAGTAGACGCAGGATGCTCACGTTCTTCAGTTATCATCCCCCAGCCACTTATCCAGCAGGTCGTTGTAGAGTCCAGCTTTGTGGAGCTGTCTGGGAGACAGGCAGGTAGAATGTGGGAGCTGAACTTCACAGGCTGGTGCAGCTGCATCAAGGTGATGTCACTCCCTAAAAAATGGTGCTTGTCGAAGTCTGGGTGGACAATGACCTTGTACACTGTCATCTGCATGCTTATGTTACTGGGATTGCTCAGTTGGTTGTACCCTAGCAGGATCCGGTAGTCAGCTGGGTTCTGGGACCTGTTGGGGGCAGATCCTCTGAGTGCTGCACAGGCACCCTGGCCCTAACCACCCACCCACCTGGCAGACCTCACCCCATCATTTCAGAGTACCAAGCCCACATGGTACTTCCTAATACTGTGATAGCCCTTCTCTTGAGGTGAGTTTGATTCTGTCTACAGCCTTAGGACATCAGACCTTTGAAGGCTTTTAACAGCTTTTATAGCATGCTACAGAATTCAAGGAGCAGAGAATCTTATTGCTGGAAAGAAACATTTGGAGGGGAAGAGATGTGTCGCATTTTCATCCCTGATCAAACCCTCTTATGGCCCAACGGACTTCTCAAAGTCCCCACTTCCCAGGCCAGCATGACCCCTCCCTCCAATCCTCACATCATCCTCTCTACAAGCTGACTGGCTCCTAACCTGGGCACAGGCACTCAACAAGTTGTAGTGAAGGAAAAGGAGGAATACATGGAAATTTCTTGTTTTTGAAACCCTAGTGACCTTCCAGCCCACATGACACACTTGTGTGGTGCCCCTACCCAGACTCCTCATGCCTGGATCCTTCTCTCCAAAGACCCTCCAGTTCCATGCTTTCACACTGGATGGAACCATGGTGTCTCCCCTGACATGTCCTTAGGGTCTACTGTGGAAGTTGGGTTTGTGTCTCGCTTTCAAGGTGGGTCTTGCATCGCCACATCTCCCATGTGGGCTGGGTACTCCTAGGTGCTGAATATAATAATGGAACCCAGTTGGGATC